ACAGGACTGGTTTACTTTGCGCAGCAAAAAGGGAGGTATCTTTTGGGGACTGGCAAGAGGCCTATTTTTCCTAAAAAGCCAATCGCATTAAAGCCTGACTCACCGCATGCTACAAACCGAATGTTTTGGTTATTATTGTTATTTCGTCCCACAGCGAGACGCATGAGCACCATTACAGTGCAGATAAAACGAAGCTACTAACGTATTGCAAGTTATCAGTACAGCTATGGATGGCGTAAATCAGGCGCATTAAGCAAACTCTCAAAATTAGACAGCGGGTCATAGATTGGAACAAGACTCCAGTTAAGTGACCGATCAGAAAACTAACTGTGCATTCAAGATATAATAAACCCATCTTCTTCCGTTATAGCGTTGGTAACTAACTACAACGAAAATTCTGCGGATTTTTCTTAGACAGTCACAAGACGCCAAGAAAAGCTACTTCCACACTCAAACTTACATTCTTGTAGAAATGATGCTGTTATGAAATTGGAAGTCGAACTAATTACGCAGCGCGTCGCTTTGTCATCCTATGCGACCTTTGCTTGGTGTTCAAACGATTTCCACAGTTTTTATTGAATATTTACCAAGAGCACTGAGGGCATGACACCATAAAAGTGATACAGAGCAAATATCTATTTCTTTGATGTCAAGGATCAATCCAACAGAAACAAATTTTAAAGAAGTCTTTGCTCTTTTTTCTTAAGCAATGTTAGTTTTGGGATAAAAGCGTCAGTTCTTCGATAAATTGAAAACTTGTTCTATTTTCCAAAAAAAAAAAAAAAAAAAACAGCAAAGAAACAGGAAAGTACCAAAATACCGTTTTTGGTTTTCTTCCTCCTCGATTTTGAAAGGAAAATCTAGCACGTTAGCGATCGATTGTGAAAAATAAATGAATTATGAATCAGGTAGTGGCGTAAATTAAATCACTCGCGCGCAAGAAAAATAAAATAAGGCAGGTTAGACAAGTCACTGCTCAATTTTTGTTTAAGTCTCGGTTGTGAATTTTCTAAAATGTATTTACACTTCGAAGAGAGAAGCAAATTTCGTGATATAAACATCGGAATCAGATTCTTAAGCGAGAAAATACAGTACTGGATGTTCTTTAGGTCACTGAATAGCGACAGATGAAGCAAAAAGATTTGATTAAACTGGCTAAACATGCTATTGTAAGCGCTTTAATGGTTCCTTAATTGAATTTTGTTCCTTTTTTAGCGCTGAAAAATAATGCAATTCTTCTAAACTAAGAAAACTGAGTATAAAAATATATAAAGAAGATAGATTATGTTTTTGCTAAGAGTAGTTATATTAGTTGATAGAGGCAAGATAAGAGTCAAGAGAGCGTAAATGCCAGCTTTTACGTCTAACCAAAATTATTGACAGGCATTTTAGTTTGATGCTTATGTACAGCAATGGGGAAAATCCGTCATGGTGAACCACACCAATGTACAACACTAGTCACAAATCGTTGAAACCGAGATACAAAATCTCTAGAACTTTTCGAAATTTTCACCACAATGACTTACAGCTGCGTAAGAAACTTTGTTCCTAAATCATTCCTAAATGTTCTCAATATTCTCACCCAAATGTCCCTATCACCTTCTCCAATGTTGACCCAACCGTATTTTGTCAGAGCAGTGAGACGACTGTGATTCTCGAAACAACATTGGGGAAAGAAAACCGACACAAGTGTTTCAAGAAATCTGACGAGAGTTGACGCCTCGAAAAAATTGCCTTTATGTTCTGAGAATAAATTATGTCATCACCATTTGATGTCCTCGTATTTTCTCCACTTCCCAAAATTAATCTGTATTATTATTCATTCAAAATGTTTCCCCAATTCTGATTGGCTAAAAGCACACGCATAATTCTCCATAACCAGTTATTGATTACCAAATTTTAAATAACTTTCTGTTTTACGAGGAAATGACGTCAAAAATGCAGCCTTCTACAGGTTAATGCACCGTTAACCGAGAAGACCTCGAGAAGGACGAGATTGAGTTGCTTTCGTTGTAAAACTAAAATGGCGGACACTTCACTCGTTTCAAGTGTAAGAACTACAGCTGGAACTAGGCGAAATAATGGCTAAAAACATAGCAATAACAGCAAGAAGACAACTCCGAGGGCGACATCTGCTATTTGGAGATATTTGCGCAGCTGGACAAACCTAAACGTAAACTTTAGAAGATAAACTTAACATCGATGTAGGTAAGCTTGTTTTAGCCATGTTTTTAAACTAGGAATTATTTTGAATGAATAATAAAACAATTATTGAATTCGGCTTTCGTATCTTATGAAGAATTATGGAGATCTCGGAGGGTGTTATCCGCCTCGGCCTAAGGCCTCGACGGGTAACACCCTCCTCGATCTCCACAATTCTTCATAAGATACGTAGCCTCATTGATAAATTGTTAATTAATTTTACATTTCATTAAATCAGCACTCGTAAAGCCACCGAATAAAAATCTATCGCTAATCTTTAATTTCTCTTGTAATTTCATCTACGAATTTCAATTTTTAAAAATATTTCAGTTTTTTGCGACTAAATTCGCATAGTTTCGCAAAAAGGTGCCTTAAATGGATGGTAATTCCTTTGTGTTTCATGTCCGTACATACTGTTTTCCAAAAGTGGGCCAACGAAACATTTGGTTGACAGAGAAAAAGGGAAAGAAGTTTGACGTGAAAAAAAAAATGGATAAACGTAATGTTAACAGTGAGAATTTGTAGACAAGTATGTTTCCATTGCAAATCTACATACGGTAATTATACAGCAGCAGTGGAATTAGAAACAGTTTCACCCACAATAACTTGGCCGTATAGCAATGGAATAAACCCCGAATAGCGAAATTTAGTTCCCACTTTAAGAAAGTGAATTAAACGTAAATAGGTATTTTCGTGACTGCCAGACCCTGCTTAGAGTTGACATGGAAATGAGTCAATTAATTTTGGTCTTTGTTTAATAAACTTGGGCCTCAAAAAGTTCGACGCCTTATAGAAATATAGGTGCGCTATGAATTGTTAACATAAAACGTTTCTTTCGGTTCAATACAGCGAGAACATGGGGGAGTTAATAAGCGTAGGATTTCTT